CAAGCAATCATATCTTCTTGGTTGGCTTCTTAATTAAATTATTCAACCATTGACAATTTGTGGTGACGCTAACCGGTGCTAATTTGTCTCAGACACCAGATGACACTGTGATAACTCTTATCCGCAACTGGGTCAATTTCCGATATTTCCGGTGTATCATTATGAAATGCTACCTTGCTACCGGTACTTTGATCAGACAACATTGGGAAGTTATGTCTAAAACAAAAGTATCGATCAAAATTCCACAAAAAAGGAAACCATTTGGTCCTTTTCGTGATGTTTTGTCCTTGCTCATTGCTTGGAATTCATCCACAGAGGTCAATACAAACGTGCACGAAGGTCGCCAGGTGCAGCCCCAGTGTGACCCAGTGACAAGATAATGTCTAACTAAAAGCCTCAATGTCTAATTTAAACAGATGAAGTGAGGACGTCTTGATTAGAATCGAAATCCCTACCGGTATAACCGAGTCTGGTCAAACAAGTGCACCCCTTGTTATGACTCACGTTGTTGACGATATCTGTTAGAAATATCAATAATTCTAATTTCAGTAGCTTTGATGAAAATGGCTTCTCCATAACGATAATCATGACACATGACACACAAAAAAAATTAAACGAAAAATTATAACTTGATTAGAAAATGTTTGCAGTTTCCTCAATCCACGAGATACGATATACGACTGCATGCTGCCATGCCCATTGGTAATCAAGCTTCTATCGAAACTGAAAATCTTTGTTTTTTCTTTTTTTCTTTTTCATTTAATTGGAAATAGCAAATCCTATTTGGGCTTTTAACAAGTTTAATATAAATGTATACACATATTTTAATCAAACTTAATAACGTGTTATGAAATTGGTTTTGATTTGAAAGAATATTGACGAATGGTCGGACTCAAGCCTTGCCCATGACATCGACCAATCATTAGGTTCACCATCGAAGACAGAAGAACATACACTTAAGACAGTAGTATAGCTCTAAATAAACTACAGTACGGGTCTAATAAGATATCTTGAACGTTATGCAGTATCACATGCAATCTGATTTTAAGATGTAAGCCAAAAATGTACATTAATGCTGTGTAGAGGCGAGATTTTTTATCTACAAACATACTGAAAATAAATCTTATTGATTTTTGTTCATTCTTATAAAAGAACTATTATACGATGTTTAGACAATTTCTGTACAATAAATGTAAATTATGTCCTTGATTTCAATTGATACATAACCGTCCTTTGTATCTAAAACGGCTGTGACGTCACAAGAGTGGCGACAGATGGAGCAGCTGCTTGTTCAGGTCAAAGTTCAATATGCAAATTAAAAGTTGAGTATTCATATCACAGTCCTATAATGAAATGGTATCAGATACACGTCTTTGTGTCCTATCAGAGGTTGCGAGTCAACAAACCCCTACGTAACGCAATAGATTGGGTATTGCCGAGGATGGTACAACACTATCAAACAATACCCCTAATGATCAGCATTTCATATTCTTGAGATGTTTTAGCCAAACAATGAGACAGCTTAAGATTGTGTAAATTAATTAAAGAAATGTCTTGGATTTTTTAAATATTTTTCTAGAGAAGCTTTTCATGACCGGTTAGTCATGCCAACCGTCGCCTTTGTACACGTTCGACCAGGAGAATCGTCCGTGAATCTGGCCAAGAACTTTAATTATTTGATAATCTCGTGTATGTGAAATATGACATTTTTAATCGTTTGTGTTCGTGGAGATGACTGTATCATCTGAGTAATACAACACTTGGTATCGACATAGACCTATCAACAGCGGGAGACGACTAGGACGATCTTGACTTGAGCAACGTGTACAGTATATAGACACGGTGTTTATACATGTACCTAGGTACACGTACATGTTAATTTAAGTTTGATTCAGAATAACAAATCGTATTATCACATATTCAGCAGATAAATAACCCACACATTAAACGTCCCGCGATTAAAATCCAGCGATCAAATCCCTTTAACGATTATTTGTGCCATTAAACTTGGCCGTTCCATTCATCACGATCACAATGGAAAGACTAAATTGGCGATTTATAGGAATTGAGGGTGTACGTTATTTCAAATAACTCCTATAAGGTCATGTGACCCCATAAAAGGGTCAATTGTGGTCATAATCCAGGAAGAGTTTAGTGGTTAACACCGATGACATGACAAGAGGCTGAGGTGAAGTAATAATGGCGACATTTTGATATTCGTATACCGCTGCATTCTATTACTTTGCTCGACTGGTCCCGACTCTATAGCCTTAAATAGTTAAACAAACTCGAATAATTGGATGTCTGATTCTAAGTTCTCAAACTACGGGGAGATCAGATAGTAGTAAAATGCAGGAAATTCTTTATAAAAAACTGAATGTGGCCAGTCTGTTACTTAGCATACTTAACTGCGAGCAAAGTAACACTCACGAATGGACAAATACGTAAGCAAACAACAATGAATCACGACGAGTTTATCTCTATAAAGGTTATTCATTGAAGTTATTTTTGTCACAAATACTTCCACGGTTTATCATTATTTACATTACCAGATCTGAGTTATGCACGGAAGGTCGGGTACAGATCGTGCCTATATTTTATATACTACCTGTTATTATACCAGGGGTGGTGTGGAACGATTCATGTCCTTGCGGTTTGTAAACACGATATAAATATTTATAGTCTACAGCATTTCCTGTAACATGCGTAAACAAGCAGGGTATTTCAAAATTTTACAGTTCATCCAGTTTTTTCGCGTTAAAATGTTTGCGAGTAGATTGTTGGATCAATTTATATAACCGATGTATTAAATAGTCTCGGTCTGACGCCACTACATCATGATCGCGCTCGTCGTGAAGCTGAAATGACAAAACAAGCTCAAGATTCTTGTTCATTACTTGGGGTGAAGACATTTGTTTCAACTTAGCTTTAAAGGCATGCGCCTGCATGTACACCATGATTGCAAGTACGTTTCATTATGTAATGTTACGGCTTGAAACGTATCGAAATAGCCTCGTTCAAGTTAATGTTCTGTATTACCATAAGTTTAAACAAATATTCACCTGTAAAATCTAATAGAATTTGATAGCGTTATTGTACGTGCATCCAAAGTAAACTAGAAAATACTCGTATACCGGTAAAATCACAGGTGTAAAAGCGTGTCTTTGTAAAGTGTATGATGTAATACATGTAGTATAGTTTTATACCAACTGGCCTGGGGGTCAGTGATGTGTGGTGACGGATCACATAATTTTCATTATCGATTCTATTGGACAGTTGACCAATAAAAGTACAGTTGACCATTTATCGTATGTAATAAACATCAAAGCAATACAAGACCGCTGATGATTGCAAATATTGATATCAGTGGTGGTTAAACAAAAACTATTAAGTTTTATAATTACTATTTAAGTGTATATATATGTATATGACCACAACATAGTAGGGATAAAAACGGAGAACAGATACAAGACACGTGACAGTGACTGACAATATTAATAGTGTATTACCGCACAACGATGGTAGCAAGATAGGCATGTCGGCACCAGGTGGGAGAAGTGTATACATGTCCTCTTACCTGTACGGTATATATTATATATCCGAATGTGACGGCCATCAGAGGAGAACTGATCAATACACAAACGTTACCTTTAATAGGGAGGGGTCATCCGAGGTCAGGTATACTGTCTCTGTTCTATTATGATCACCTTTACCAGACACCTATATGATGTCTTGTATACAAGTTTCAGGTATCAAGTAATATTATACATAATTATATCGAATAGTAAATATTTTTAAAGAAATTGTTCAATGGTAATGGACCTGAAAATCTGGCGTCTTACACACAGGGACCTCGGAAATTGTTAATGCTGTGTTTTGACCTACATCATGTAAACGAATGTGTTCAGAGTTGTAGGAGGTTAGGTTGAAGTCTCAATAAAATATACCATCATTGGGGCCGGGGGTTAGTATTGTTACCGAGTATTTTGCTGATCTAAACCTTAGCCACGTCTAATATAACACTCCACACATCAGGGTAGGTCAATATACAGTCTAAAAATAATTCCTCGTGTCCCTGTAAGTGCGATCTTACATGCACACTAAACAACGCCTAACAAGCCTGAGTCGAGGCTATATTTCATGTGCATGCAAATCAAATGTCTGTGAATTCGAACTTGACATGTTACAGGAGGCCTGAACCTCGAGGTTCGCAGACATTTCGGGGTCACTTTAGACAGGCGGTCGTTAAAGAAAGGTTGACGTTATATACAGGTAATCATGTTGATCAGTTTAAGTGTCGGATTTAGCATACCTGTGATACCAGGTATAGAGTACCAATATAGAAGGCGGACAGATAACGTTGTTGACCGGTTACATACCTTACCTGATAAAAACTCCAGGTAAACATTTCAGTGACGTGGTGCTACAGGTATGTCTGTATTTCATCACAACCAATGAAAACATCAGTACAATACGTATAAATAAATACAGTAAAAAATGAAAAGGCTTATAAAAGATTCCACTGTCATTATACGTTTTTACACTCACATTTCGAATCTAACCCCAAGATCGTGACATTTATATCGAATGGGTGGGTAGGTCCGGTTTCGTGTCATCAGAGGTATACACGCATGTTATTTAGAGTCTTATATGTTGTAAGTGGTATTCAGCAGGTATAGAGTGGGTCAGGCTCTAGACGAGCGCTTTTATGCATAAACTAGGTTTAAAATGTATGAGGTTGTATATATAATTAGCCTTGATAATGACACTACAAATGGGATCAGATACAAGTAAGATTGTTTTCCAGTGTTGTACTCCGTCACATCACGGAATTAGAATTCTAAGTCCGTGGTCACATTTAGCAACCATTAATGTTCATACATGCATTTAATCACATTACGTGATTTAATACACACGTCATGTATCAGGGTATACCTATCAATCCCTAAGATACCCGGGTTGATATAACACCACGTGCGTAACGTGTTATAAGTACCTACCTGAATGACGTGCTGACTACCCCCCGGGGGTAGGGCGTGTGTGACGTCGATGGGCTGCCCCTCCGCCTGGATTTGACGGATGCCCTTACCCACGTGGGTTTTACAATACACCTCCTTATCGTTTGTGCCATTGGCATCGTTCCTATAAAACGTCTGCATGGTCAGAGGAATTCCACACACACGACATCGGAAACACTGTCTGTGGAACAGTACCCCGACATTGACTTGTTCGTGGATGGGGGTGGATTTGTAACACCTGTGGCAGGGGTCCACTGCTGCGGGGTAGGCAGCTCGGTCAAATTTAAACTCGTACAATGTCGCCCTCTCATACGTAAAAGCATACGAGTAAGTTCCGTCATCTCGTTTTCCTTCTCTGACATCAATCCGGACCGGAACGTCCGATTCTTCTCCTGACATTATAAATCCGTAGGTGAAAATCACACAAAATCTCCAATTTTACACAAATTTCTAACAGCATCCGTCATGTTTACATGGCGTTACGTGGTTAAGATGTATACTCTAGGAACTGTATACAGGTAAACCTCACAGGTAGGTCCACATATACGTACGAATGGTGTGTGTGTAGTAGATGGTGTGACCCGATTACGCTAGCATACCTGACTGAGTCCGGCCCCGCACCTAGCATATTATTGTAGACAGGTAAAACCGTTACAACTTGTAAACAAAGATCCGCCAAAGGTAAAATCCAGGTACACTCATGTGTTTTAATCAGTTCACAACTAATATGTATTTCAATGAACTGCGGCTTTGCAGGTCCATCTTTACCAAGCCTAACATACATAATATCACGGACTTAGATCTAATCTAATTCCGTGATAATATGTATTAATATTCAGTACAAAGAGATTTTTGTATACAATGGTGGGGGTACATACTTATAACCATATGACCAGGTAGTAATATAACCATTACATAATATGTAATACATAGATATTTGTATCTTATGATATTTACAGATAATTATATTAATCAACATGCAAATCAGTAACATAAGGAAGGACACATTTTCATTTCTTAGAAAAAGACGAAAATTAGGATTGTCTTTAATCGAACAGGATGCATATACTGTACCGTCATCAAACCTATTTTTTTATTATATTTAACTTTGCAAAATATAACATCACGGTATCAGATTCCGTGGTAAAATTAAGGTGGTAAACAATTTCTGTCTTTGAAAATAGTGATTTTATATTAAATTATTAAACTTGTTGTTTTTCTTTTCGAGCCGGATGCGACGAATTTGCAGGTTTATATGCGTATAATGATTTCGAGTAACTTAAAAAAAAAGTCACTGAAAAATCACCGCAACCGGCAAAAAACAAACATTAGGTTACGACAGCAGATTTGTTTTCAAGTTCAATCATTATTGCTCAAAGATCCAGCTTTTCTGTTATGTAGAAACATGACAGTAACAAACCAACAACTTAATTTAGATAATTGTGTATTGTTTGATTTTTACTTAATGAAAATAACATAATCCACTGCAAGTAGTTATCTTTAGTTGTCTGCTGCCTCTTCCTGTGCGTCCCCAGCGTATCAACCGGAAACACTCCATCACGACGCCACGTGTTTCCCTCTTCCTGCTGTCCTAGACTACCGTACCTCAAGTGTGTCTGAAATGTTGGACCACTTACAAATGCGCCCCCTAGCAGATAGACGAAGAGATGCACGTCTTACCTTGTTTTATCATATTGTCAATTATAAAGTTGCTGTTGCAAAATCGGACAGACTTATTCCCCCTGTCAAAAAATGCAGGCATGGAAACGAGCTCTCTTTCCTAATTCCTTTCTCCAAAACTCTGTCTAGAAAAGAAACTTTCTTCCCTCGAGCTATATCCGAGTGGAATAAACTCCCTCCTGATACTGTATCTACCCGACAACAAACTCTTTCAAATCAAGCCTCTACCGTCACTTTGCAAATAACAAACTAAATTCCTCCTGTCAAAACCTTTCCTCTGCCCATCTTAACCCTCCTCCACCCATCTCAACCCTCGATCCTCTGGCATGATTCTTCAAATTGTTGAAGTGAGTCAGTACCCTGTTAATAGACAGATGGATTGTAGCTTGGTACCATCATCTAACACTCCGATGCTGCTTAACCCATTTGTTCTCATTTTGCATTTTTTTCTCTGTTTCTATCATTTGAATGTCATTTATAAGAAACGGATACCGCAGTTCCATGTTCCAGTTCTCGTTCCATGCCTTGAACCTTCCTGATAAACCCGCTACTTTGCACACAGCCTCTGCTCTCGTTATATCTGTCCGACAGTAAAACATCTCTGAGCCTGTTGGAGTTGCCTCCCTTCTATCCTTGAAAAATCTCAGATGTTCACATAGTCGTTGCCTGGTAGCTATTTGGATGTCGTCTTTGTAGGCTTTCCTTGGTGGTATCTTATGCTGGATGCCATGACATGTAGGGTTCCAAGTTCATCTTCTAGACAGACTTCACAATTAAGTACAATACCACTATCCGATATCATGCAGCCTATAATGTTATGTCCCTCACCCCCCCCCCNTTTTTCCGGGGGGGGGGGGGTTTCTTGGCTGGACCCGTCTTTAAGATCTTTCCTCCTGTCCGAATATATCCGTACTTCTTTGTAGTCCTTGTCGTATCTCCCTCACCATTCTACCTGCAACTGTAGTGTTGGCCATGTTTCGCATGTTGTCCGCACCTTCGTCGCATCGCCCTTGCGTTTGTTTGGTGACCACTTAACATTCATGCATCATTGCACCTCCTCCTGTTTGTAGAGGGCTACATTCTGTTTGTATGCATCCTCTAAACCTTTCTCCTATGATTTCTACCTGTGTGGTAGTTAGTGGCCGTACATAATGCTGGGCCTCTGGATGGTGATGACGATGTACTTCAATGGGAAACTCAGTCTTCCATGAAGGTCGACTCTTATCTTCCTTTTTCTTCTGTTTCCTATCGGGGACCACTACATGGCGTGTAATTCTCCTGTGCATGGCGAGTCACTAATTAAAACATTCCAATTTGTTTTAATTATTTAAATATTAAAATTCGAGCAGTTGTTGGTTGGTTCTCAATGGTAAAGTTGTGTTCCGGTCATGTCCAGAGGCTGTAATGCGGACCGGACCCCCTCCACTATCACTTGGGAGTGAGTCTCTGTTAACCCTACACCAGACACATGTAAGTATCCGCCCTTTATGTTATCACAGCTATCACCGATTTGGTTTAGTCACCAGAAAATCGGAAGATAAAATAGGTACAAATGGATCCGCTTCAGGTGTAATTCTAACCATTCTTATGAGTCTCAAAAAATACATTCCAAAATTCATTTGAAAGTGAAATTTCTGAAGTAAAGAAAAGGTCATTAAAATTGGAGACAATGAAGATTGTATAATCACACACCTGCCTTAATTGTTTAGTAAAAGAATAAATAAAAAAAAATGTGCCAGGCTTCAGCAAGTTACTGCGGTTTTGTTTGGGTGGGTTTTTTTTCGGAAAGATATATGGTCATAAAAAGAGAATTATTCAGTTTATCCGTGGCTCTGTTCTTGACAAATCATTTTTTGTTCCAGAATAAAAGTTATACTTTGATGTAACTCTCAATGACATATTAAATTTTGCAAGAATGATTTTGCCAATTAACTCGGCATGGTTGTAAGTGTATGAAACCGATAATTATAATAGCAATTTACCAAATTAAGTACTAAAAAATTACCTTGTTGTGTGTCAACTTTTCATTGATGTTTAACTTAAAAACCAAGCCAGGAAAATATTATTTAGAGAAGTTAATTTAAAAGTGCATGGGTTTTATGGGGTTCAGATCAACACTTGGCAAAATGCAATGGGTAACATTAATCTTGCGTTAATATAACAAAAGATTTATATTTACTTTTTTTTCTCTCGTTAACTTCAGTGGCGGATCTAAGAGACCTATCTGGGGGGGGTCCAAATTTCAAGG